AGTCAAGTCGAGTGAAGAATGTAACAGAGAAGACATCTTTATATTTTGCTATGTATGTACAGAGGCTAAAATAAACCTTGATGACCAAATATGCAAATAAAAAAAAAACAACTTTAAAAACATCACACTGAGAAGCCATGCTGGGTTGCCAGAAAACAAACTGCTGCTTGAACTCCAAATACTATCCAAAGTGAACCTAAAGTTGTTTACTTGATGTACTCTTATAAATGACCACAAGTAGATCTGTGTCTTTCAGCCTCTGAATTCAATCACTGTAAATATCAATATATTTTCCCACACAGCCGCCAGTCAAAGCCTTTGACTCTTATAATGGCAACATGTACATCAGGAAGTCTTTCAGCCACTTGATTCTGTCATTGTAAATGTCAGCATATTTGGAGCTCCACCAGTCAAAGTCTGAACTTTCTGCTCTGTTATTGATTCATGTTCTTTTTATGTACTCTTTTAATGACGTGTACATCAAGAGGTCTTTCAGCCTTTGAATTCTGTAATTGTAAATATCAGCACAGCTCAGTGATAAGTACATTTTCTCACTAAAACTGGTGGCTGAAGCAAGACTGGTAAGTCTTTGAATTTTGCCGCCCATCGAATTGCACCCTCTAAGTGATTCTCTGTGTCCCAGATAAATAAATGTCCAATTCATGTGATTAAGTGTTTCTGAGACCTCTGGAAGGTTCACAACACCAGGCTGATTTTATTTTGGTTTTATTAACATAGCAGCAAATGTGTTGCCTGAGTGTGTACATTGGCTGAGTGTAAAAGACTTCCCGTTTTAAAAAAACGAGTCTCTTCTTAATTTAAACACACAACTTAACAGCTAAGAAATTGATGCCATTTGCATTTTTTTAAAAAAGAATTCTACTTTTCAGTATGACTTTGTAACAACCTGTTTAGAGGTAATGGAGAGCCTATCAAAATGTTGAGGATAGTTAAACAACTATTCAAAATTTGACCTGCAAAATTCATAGCCAACAATAAACATCTTGTCATGTTAGGTCAGATTATTTCTGATATTAACGATCAACAAGATTTTTAACAAATATAGAATGTTCAGATGCTTCTGGCAAAGAAATTGCCTTATTGGCTTTAGTCACATGATATAACTAATATTTTTGTTGTGTATTTAAAAAAATATAATTATTTTTTTAAAAACTACTTTAGACTGATCATTGGCTTGACTAGGACTCATAGGTTTGGACTTTGACTTGCTGTTTCCCTTGATGAGTCAAATGACTTACATTAAGCCATTTGTAGATAAAAAATTGCCTTGTAATACTAATTGACTTGAAATGGAAGTAAACTAGCTGGTGTGATTAACTTGCATTTAAATAAAATTTACTACATAAGTTGATATTTTTATACATTGTATCTTGACATGCAAGGATTTAAACTGAAGATACTGTAACCACTCTTGTGAAAGATTTAATTTAAAAGATATTCAGAGTTGCCATTTTATGATAATTTGAATCTGATCCGATTGAAGAAAGATAATACTAGTCAATAAATCAATACTAAGTGAGCTTGTGATGTTACAAGACAGTGGAAAATGGTCATTACTTCCCAAGTAGTAAACTGTCAACTAGCTGGGCTTCATAAATCTCTGTGCATTTGTTGTTGTCTCTAGTGGGCTGCAAAAGAAGCAGATCCACACATACTGGGTCACAGTTCCCCATTATACACAATTTTTGTTTGCCCACAAAACCATTCCACATTAGTGTCTTGGGTAACATATTTATGGAAAGATTTTTAATAAAAATCACATAAAGTGTTTGTTGTAAACAGGTGTCTGCTATCTGGAGACGCCTACTTTGATGGGTTGCAGTATTTTCAATAAAAGGTATGCCAAAATGAACTTAACTTGCTTGAGATGCATTATGGGAAAAAATTATTTTAATTTTGTTTAAAGAGAAAATAAAAATGGTGTCACCTGAGCTACTACATGGTATGTTTAAAGAAACTTTCAAAAAATCAGTCGATCTGAAATGCATAAATTGTAACATTACATAAGAATGTACATTGGGGATAAAAGATGATTTAAACATCTTCATCTAACTCTACTGAAAAACCAGTGTGCATTTTAATTGACAATGAATTAAACTGTGAACACTTCTGAAACAAAAATTCCAAATGGGGTTGTGGATGACACTTTTTTCGAGGTTACCGGTAGATTGGACCTTACCAAACAGAATCAACTACATTCTGGCATAGAAACGTTCACTTATTTTAAGATCAAATTTGATTGTGTTTTGTGATAATTAAATTAGACCATATGATTCTGCATTTAAAAACTTAGAAACAAATATAGTTGTAATTAAACGTACACATTTTTTAGTTGGTTTTAATGTCACTTTTAAGATGCATTTTATTTTCTTATCTTGCTGAGGAAATCTAAGCTAAGTTCCTTTTCCCAAGGACACATAATGGCAGACTAATATTATATTAGTCTGTAAAAACATTGCTGACCAAGCAAGTTTGGTTAATATTTCACAAATGTATACAAATTGATAAAATAATGTGAAAATCTATATGCACCTGCAAAATAATACTTTATGCCCAAATGGTTTTGGTAATTCTATTTAGGTCTGTAAAAATGTTTAGTCAAAAAGATAAAAAATGTATTCTATTAACCAAAAAGCCCAGAAAATAGAGAAGTTGCCACTGACCTGAAAATTCAAATGATTTACATAAAAATGCATTAAAGTCTGCCAATGTTCAATTTGGAAATTAAAGTACAAAGTTTAAAATAATGGGGCATTATAAAAGCCAGAAGTGTAGTCATGTCACCTATATATTCATACATGAATGTATGCCAAATTTTATATACTGACCTACATTAAATTCTAGGGTTACTGGTTATAGACAAGAATAATTTATAGGATGGTACGTTGTTTGATGTCTGGTATCCAATATGATCACCACAGTGAATGTCTTGAAAATATCACAACTCTTTCCTGAATGGAAAGTCGTGTTTTCAACATAGATTTCCTGTATTGTCTACTTGTCCTGAATTAAAATATTGTTTATTTGATGTCTAATATCACTGTCACTAGTTTTTGCTTGTCCTAGTTAGGCAATCACATTATAACCATAACAAGTCTTTCTGTCCCCACCCCCACAATGTGTAATTGACCCAAAATGAAAAGTGTACCAATCTGAATCCAGTATAGCAGACATCTTAAAAATTTTGTCAACAGGTTGACTTTTTAAGCAGTCACCATTAAGGTGGCACTCTACAGTTATGTATTTAGCATAGGGTTAGAATTTTAAAGAAAAATAGTTTCCCCAGGTTTCCTCATTAGTTATACTGGCTATTTAAAAAAGACTTTGTATATCTTAGGTAATATTTAAAGAACCTTTAATTCCCTTTATTTGGATGTATGATTGATGGGTGTAATATAGGTTAGAGAGAATACAGCTTGGCCTTACTCCAGATGTGCACCTTTCAAAAAAGTGCTAGCTCTACTTGCTCATTTTCACTTCTCGAACTTCAGAGGTAAATTGTAAAAAAAATAGAGCTGATAACTTTTTTTACATTTATGTATTTGGTAATTCATTAATTGCACTTTTAGAAGCTGGTATTGTCTAGTTTGGCAAATTAATTTTCCATATTTTAATAGCTGCCAAGAATAGTGTACTTTAGACAAATTCAGGTTAATTTTTGGAGCACAAGGGAGCAGTCATTTTAGTTAGCAGTGTCCTAAGATTATTTAAAATTTCCAAAAAATACAATATCCAAAGAAATTTCAGCCACATTACATGAAAGAAGTATATAGGTATGCCAACATTCTCTCCACTATGCATGTTTAAAATGCAAATAATTTCACATTACATACATCACTCTCTCAAAGTACATAATAACTGGTGAGCGCCACCTAAATGACTTTCACTTCTCCCAACTTACCCTTGTGGTGAATTTTATTCTCTGACCTTGATAAAATTTATGGGTATTTCTATTGTTTTTGTTGTAGGGTTTAATGCCATTTTTCAGCATAAGATAGGCTATATATGGTGGCCATTATTAATGGTGGAGGAAGAATCTGGGAAAACCCTGAAAGGAACCACCAATCCACGAGAAGCTACTGGCAAGCTTTCTCACATACCCACATTGGCCAAACCCCTGAGACTTGAACCCACACAGTCAGGTGGGATGGCAGTGATCCATAATGGTGAGTGCTTTAGACCACTTGACCACTAGGGTGCCAGATTTCAGGGATAATTCCAACAAAAAAAATTGTAGGGGTCCCTATCACTGAATAGTGACTTTTTCTCATTAAGCAAGTATTTGGTGCATTTAAGAGAACAGTGATACATTTGTAATAGTCTTCTGGTTTCCAACCTCTTGTCCACAATTACTCGTTAATTTTTGTTGCAATTTATATTTGACTAATCTATTTACAATGTTACCATTTTGTTTTACAACATCTAGACTGAACAGTACAAGAACAGTAATGTTATTTTTATATCTTCTAATACTATTTCATCAGAATTTTCATAAGATGAAAATATGCAGTTATTTCAATATTTTAAACTCTACACAACTGCTTTGCCATATTATTGCTAACTTTCACCCATGTTGGCTTTGGAAATGTAATTTCAGTTGGTGTTGGAGTTCAGCTTGGACCAGGTTTTCTAATTAAATTATCTGTCAAGCTGAATAGAATGATGTAAAAGTTCTAGCTAGCAAGATTTACTAACATTTGATTGGGATCTTTCAAGATAAAATTGTGGGGCTGTCTGACGGCACATTTTCTAAACCAGATATTTCGTCTTTCTTACCCATTCAGTCATATTCATAAGTGATGCTTGAAAAATAAATTCACCCTAGAGAAAACCTGGAAATTTTTGTTTGAAAAGTGACTAAATCAATATGGAATATATTAGTATTACCTAACATTCTGCATTTCTGCACTTTCTATACATTTCCAATTGATAGATACAATTATTCAATTGGTTAGATACAATTATTCAATTGGTTTACTGCTCCTGTGGCCTAGTGGTAAGAGCATCCGCCTTAGATGCAGGAGGTCGTTGGTTCGATCACCATTTGAGTCATATTGAAGACTTACAAAAATGGTCGTAACAGCTGCCTCGCTTGACGCTCAGCATTAAGAGGTTAGTGTTAGGACTAATCTGCCTGGTGTCAGGATAATGTGACTGGGTTGGACATCATTCTACATCTCTGCGGAATGATGCCCCAGTGCATGACATTACTATAAACTGCCACACTACAGACATTGTAGCGATATGATTGATAAATTGTTAAAGCTACGTTAAAAATCATAATCACATCACACATGCCTTTGTTGACTCTTTGAACTACATTAAAACCTCAGAAAAAGTCATTTCTGTTAGCTTTTTGTTTTCTCATTCGACACTGAAAACCTTGAAATACCTGAAGTGTCGGAACCTGTTAACATCCAATTCTTGATGCCCAATTTGCTCATACAGTCTTTTAAATGTATATTATTTGCTAGATGCTTTGTCCTATTGGTATTAAGCATTCTGTAAGGACAGAGAAAGCATCATGAGCTGCCTATAGTGATCCATTTCCAGATGTGAGATTCCATATATTTAATGAGAAATAATTAATAGGTAAATTCAACAAACTTGTACTTGGCAAGATAATGAAAACTCCACATCAATCATTCCTCAGTGATCTTATATGCAAGCAAGCAATTGCTTTCTATGGCATCTTGCACAGAAATAAATGTCCTATTTAGGCAGTACATGTCTGTCACTTTATGTTGACATTATACAGTACAAGTTTTTGCTGTTAGTTGTTGGTCAGTGCTCATACATATATTCAGGTAATTTAACCTGTCTATTTGCAGTTAAAATGTGACTAATTGAACATTTTTATTTTGCAACTAATATAAATGTGGTGTCTAAAAATTACTTGCTTTTCCTTGACTTCACCAAGTTTTGTTTTTCTATGGAAGGGAATAAACCTATGCTAGGATTTTTTCCCCCAATTTCCATGCAGAATATGAACTCCGATTAAACAATTACAGCATTTATAATTGCAGAGAAGTCACATATTATATGAACATTAGTTCAAGATTATCACTGACGCGGTCTTATAGTGTGTTGGAAGGAGATCCTCACCATACAAAGGATCACACTTTGGTGTCCTAGTGGTTAGAGCTTCTGCCTTGGATGTGGGAGGTTGTGGGTTCAATCCCCAACTAAGTCATACCAAAGACTTAAAAAATGGTACAAACAGCTGTCTCACTTGGTGCTTGGCATTAAGAGGTTAGTTTTAAGATTGATCAGCCTGGTGTCAAGATAACGTGACTGGGTGGGACATCATGCTAGATGTCTAGTGCTAGACATTACTATAAACTGTCACACTGCAGACATTGTAGTGATATGACTGAAAAATTGTGAAAGCTTTGTTAAAAATCCAAATCACACTCGCTCTTAACACAAAATTGTTCAACATCATTGGATCAGCAGGACAAACCTAAAGGTATTTTGATTTTTTGGTCATCAACAGCTTTAAGTGTTAGAAAAGTGGCCTAAATGGTCATCTTAAGACTGATAGATTCAGTTCAATATTATCTATGAACACATTACTCAATGTATGGCAATCAATGGCTTGCCCTAACCCTCATCCATGCATTGCCACAAGTCTATTTAATATTTGTAAACTTAAATTCACAGCCATGGGCTTTATATCTTCTTGGAACATGAAGTATTCCTTGCATCATTTTAAACCATCCCATAAAACACAATCAGCCTCTCTGGCTCAAGTTTGTGATCACTTTGGTATCCATGTGAATTTATTCATCTATCCATATCCTAGATTAGGTTACTGTTTTGCTAAATTTTAATATTTAGCTACATTCCTGATGCTTAAGAATGCACTTGTCTTAGCTAGATAAATATCCTCATTAGCAAAGCCCAAGGAAAGTGTTTATTTTCCCTGCCATATGGTGAGTGTATTATGTTGTGAAACTAAAGATGTTCATTTCCACACAATAATTCATGTTCACCACCACAAAACTTGGTGGATGCCTTTCATATGGTGTAATGAAGAAATGATGTCACTGATTGAAAAAAAGGAAAATGGTTTCCACACAGTTTTGGAATTGAATGGTAATGGTAATTGTGGCTGAGAAGAAAATGGTCTCTACACAATATATATCTATTGAACAAGTGTGCCCTCCCCGACTCCTTTTCTTTTCTGGAAAAGACCTGATATGTTAACTGATTTCCCTGTGAGATGTGCTTCAAATTACATATGGACAAAAATTACAAAATAAGGGTCACAGTGAATGAGTTTGTAACGATAGTAATATGTACTGAGCTACATCCACTCAAACAATATCTTTAGTATTTTTTTAACACCCTGTGCAGATTTCAGCCTAGTCTTCAAATTAAACATATCTCCACAATAATTTTCCAACTTGACAGATAACTGGTTTTGTGAAACAAATAACCACTCACAAACCACAAATGTTAAAGGATACAATTTTAGGCAAAGTGAAAGAAATTTAATCCAAATTCTTCTTCAAAGGTCTATCTATAAAATCTGGCACTTTTTAATAGAGAATCTTGTTCTATAAATATATTTTTGGCTAATTTTGTTAGCGTTAACATTTCCATTCACATATTAAGTACTGACTGCAGATCTGTGCATCTGTTGAGACTGGTTAGTTGAGAGCCATATAAATCAGTATTATTTCTCTGCATTATCAGCTTTTAATGTTTTGTAATGGACTTCTGACAGACTCCGCAGTTTTTCTGCTGCCTGAAACAAGTGAGGATATAAGTACATTTAAATCTTACGAATAAGCAAAGTATAAGAAAAACATATAAATAAATGAAATGTCAATTGTTCTAAGAATTGGCATTAATAAAATGGTTTGTTCACTCCCTGTACAAAACATTTTTGTGTCTGCATCCTCAATGTGGTCCAAAGTGTTTTTGAATTATCAAAGTTCTATTGTACATATATTTCAATTTTCTCCAGTCTTGAAAAATAGTTTCTGTCAATTCTTTAATCTATTAACAATTTATTTTTTCAGGATTTGTGTGATTTCTACAGTGAGCAAATTTATATAAAAATGGTAATTTTTTACCATGATTGTTACAAATTTAACTAAGATAATCTTTGAAAATAATGCAAGTGCTAAATAAATTTCTAACTTTTCAAGTGTTCTAAAGATACAGATGTCATGAAATGGAGATCTTTTTAAGGGCAAATGGTGCAGACTGGTGATAAACATTATCATAATTGTCTTTTTTGTAAAGCAGACACAAAATATAAATTTATAACACACCAAAGAAAACCTCTACTCATGAGAAACCATATGTACTTGTGTACAAGTTGGTTCCAACATGAAATCACACAGATCTGTTGTCCCACAAATGTGTGCTGGCAGATCTAGGTCTTTGTAGTTTGTTTGGAATAATCAGTAGAACAAAGAACATAGACTTTGATCTGCATACACATATTGCAATGGCAGTTCCAGGTCTGTGTTGTTTCCAGTTGGACCCAACTTGTACAGGAGTATGAACAGTAACTTGAGTTAAAATAATTATTTCTGATTGAACAGCAATGGAAAGTGTTGCTATATACAATATGATCTTGAATAAAATCACTGAACCACTGTCCAAAGACTTAAAGACCATTAAAAAACATTCCAGATGAAAAAATTAAGGTGTCCAAAAAATCAGATTTCCAAAGTTGTAATAAATATAGTTCTACCTTTTCTGGTGTGAGGTCCCTCTGGGGCATTGCAAGTAGCTCATATCCCACCATGAACTTTTTGACTGTTGCAGACCGCAGAAGGGGTGGATAGTACAGTGCATGTAACTGCCAGTGACTGCAGTCTTCCTTATTAAAGTTACCTGTTGGTGCACCTGAAATAGGAGTAACAGGTAATTAATTTTTGTGTTCATATTATAGGCTACATTTGATTCATTAAACTTTCCACATAAATATATAAAGCATTGTCAAAAAGGACACCAATAATGCATCAAAGTCATCAAGTAATTTAATGTATCATTCTGCATTGTTTTTATTGCAGTTTTTTCTTCGTAATCAGAAAGATCATTGAAATTAGAATTTTAAATAATTAACGATTACAATTTTGTGATGTTTGTAAGAAGTCCCTTTATCTTATATATTTTTGACCTGAACATACAGCTTACTGTAACCTTTTGGTATTATAAAAACTTTACTTCTTCATACTGACACTGAATAAATGTTTCCTGAGAAGAACAAGCTATAATCAGCCTTGTGATTCATACATGCATCTGTGAGTAATGTAAACACAAGAAGTGCATTTTAATGACTTGATGGATTAAATTGATGAATTTTATTTTTACTTTGGATTCAGAGACATTATATATTTTATCAAGATGGTTTCTAAATCTGAAGTTTATTGTTACTGTCCTAACCAACTTTGTTTAAACATTTTCCATCAAATATTTAAGTCACCCTTGGTAAAACCAGTACCAAAGTCCCTCAAAGAGACTTGTGTTTTAGTGTCCAAAATGTTTTTTTTTATACATGAATTGATGACAACTCTACCCGTCTTTTTTCCCCTTTTTTCACTGCTGAATATTGAAATCACATCTGAGTACATAAAAAAACCCTGAAAACAAATTTGGTTATAAAAATATTTCTTATCTCTCTAAGTTAAAACACACACACACACATGCACACACACATCATCTTTTCATTTAACACCAACCAAACATCATAAGATATCCTTTGCTGAAAACCCAATGCCAATAATGGCCATCATGACATCCATATTGCTGCTTGGACTGATACCATTTTAATTTAAAACCAACTAGATATACGACCATTCAATCAGGGGAAGTAGTGATAACACTTTCAAGATGGCTGTAGTGGTGAATGAGTTTCATTTAGTATCAACTACACTTAGATAGCCAATTATTATTTTTTTTACTTTTCATTTTATTAAAGGCTTTAAAAAATAAAAGGAAATTTGTACTTTCAGCTAAAGTTCCTGCAAGTGCTATGTGTTTGCTCAACTGAAATCTTTGAATGTCCTTCCTTGTGATTAAAAATTGTTATCAAAATGCACCCTTTCTTTATCGAAATATTACTGTACGCTATCTGGCTTTAATACATATAATCATGCTGAGCTATCTGATACAATAAGCATGGATCACTAATAAGGTTGTAATAATATAGAATCATATACCTGAATGTTTCAGATAGTGCTCTGGGAAAATTCACACATCCTTTCAAGAAGTTAGAAATAAAAGCATGGGGATAACAATATCATGTTCACAATCTTAGGACTTTTTGGAATAAAAAGATCCTTAATTTCATTTTAATAAAAACTAAAAAATAAAATAAAAATACATTATATTAAAGCAATGTTTAGTACTAAACTGTAGTGTAATACAGTAACTAAAAATCAACAAATTAATGATTGGATACAATAAATAATGGGCCTAATAAAGCATACATGCATTATGACCTGTCTAGTATGTAACTATGGCAACTTCTCAAATCTAATTGTCTCATAAAATTATTAGGCATTTTTTATATTGGTTTTAATTCAATAATTTTCTTCTTCTGGTAATATGATAACTTTGCCATTATTCAACAAATGAATTGCTTTGACCCACCACCATAATGATAAAAAAACTGAATTGCTTTTGAAAGTGACATATGGACACCTTTGAGTTACATTGACAATCACTGACAATCCATGTGATATTCCTTTTATCCTTCCTCATAAAGTAATAGTTCAGCTTGCACAAACTTAGCAGTCAGTAAAGATATTCTTTAGTGACCGATTAAAGCAGTGAGTAAACATTATATGGTTAGGCAACAGTTGACTGCTGACCATAGAAAGCAGGTGACCATTATATACATTATATTTACATAAAAATTTTATTGTATGTGTGTGCAAATCAGAATGGCTGGTGGCAAAAAAAGCATTTTTTTAACTAATAAGAGTAATGAGATTATAGTCTTGTAAGGTAGTACATTGTCAAAACTTCCTGGCACCAGTGAAGAAGCATCTTAGAGGTCATGAACTACTGTAATTCATTTTTTAAAAAAATCACAGGGCAAAGCCATTTTCACTTTTCTAACAGAAAAAGGCAAAGTTTACTTCGTTACTACCTTCATATGGTAAAGTAACCCCTGATAATTGACATATCATGCCAGACAATATGCCATCACACAAGCTCCTCTGA